AAAAACCGTTGGAAAATGCAAGGGTACTCATAACCAATTACTTATAAAAAAACAATTTCTGCACATTTTCGGTAAAAGAAAAGAATCTTTTATTGTTACCATGAAGACCCTCAAATTTATGGCAGAAGTTATCCACTCTTTTGGGTTTGTGCACACCTAGAAATATGGTTTTTAATGCATCTCTCCTTACGGTTGTGTATATTGAGTCATTGACAGTATAGAAGAAGACTTATTATTACTTTCATTCGAACTTAACTATGTCATGTCTATGTAACATACACACTTACGCTAATGAAGTGTGTAAACACCTATGTCAGTTCATATACACTAAAAATTCATCTAGCGTCTGCTAGGGAAAGGAAAAAACTTTAAATCAAATATATGTAATTCAATATGTTGTATAAACAATCAAAGGAATACACACTAAAAGCATACCTCTGATCATCCAAATCAATTCCAAGACTATCATGAAGCAAGGCCACAATATATGCTGACGAGAAGCAATAACGAAGTAGGTCTTCTTCCTCCAGAGAGTTGTACTTTTGTGTCAATTTTGACCAATCCTCACCACAAAATTCATGCCCGGCAACCACCAGATCAGAAAGAGAAGCTCTTTCACCCAGCCGAAAGAACTATTTAATTGAAGTGAAAGAAATTTAAAAAAAAAAATCCAAAACTAAAAAGGACATGCAAAACTAAATTTGCTTCGAAACTCAATATGCAATTTCTAACCTTAGAAGTGTGGAAAAAATTTTCTGTCGCCAGAAACTTCCCTTGGAGCTTCGGTATAAACGTTGAACCGATGTAGCAGGTCTTATAAGAACATTTATCTGACATAACATAAAAGGAGAATTATCCGACTAAAAAGTATAGAATATAATAAGAGTAATATTTAAAAAAAAAAAAAAGGAAACAAAGAAAATACCTTGGCCTTTTTGCAGCAGCTTTAAAGATGCAGATCTGCACTCAGAGAAATTACCTCTTGGAAGCAAAGTAGATAAATATTTATTCTTTTCAACCAAGGAAGTAGGAGAAAGCTTCCATGCATCCTCATTATGAGCATATCCACTAGGAGTACAAGGATCCAATGGTTTCTCTCTCTGGAGAGATTCCGCAACTGCATTAACAGAAGCATTTAAGGACTCCAGTAAATATAAAATCCTAGTAACAAAACCATCAGGTGCAACAAAATTCTGTCATTTCTGCTGAAAACAGACACGTATGGACAACATAAAAATGCTTCATGAAAGCAGTGGGCCATCTTCACTCACCAGATTCTTGGCCACCCAACAAGAGAGATTCTTTCAACAACTCAAATGCAACATTCTGCAAAATAGAGCACAACTTAGAAAAATTAACTAAACAGGGTACCAGAAAACTAATCATCAAGGAAATTCTATAGTCTATACGTAGCTATCACATGTTTACAGATTACATAAGATGACAAACACAAGCCATAATGAATATTCACAAGAATGCATACGGATAATAACATACATGATCATGAAGTGAACCTAACACCTACTATGCGCCAGCAAAATGCTTTGTCTAGAATTTGCTGATAAGAATTCATTGGTATGATTTCACAGTTCGCTTACCAAGTTGCTGATAAGAATTCACTGGTATTAAAGCAAATGAATAACACAATCAAATTTGCAATTCATTACCAAGTTAGGTGAGTACAAAAAGGTTTAGGGCTCAGCTACTACAGAAATCCATAACTTATGCTTATTAGTGTCCCTCTGTAAAAGAAGCATACCATACAGACACTAAAGAAAGTATGCATATCCATATTTGGGAAAATTAACTTCTAGGAATCAGGAAGTACACAAGTGAAGTTGCTAAAATAAAGATTACCTGGCCAAATTGAAGCAAGCTGTGACTGTAAAGGTTGTACGTAAAATTCCCAAATTTGATTTTTCTAGAGAATTCAGGAGGCACCTGCTCATCCGAGGCAAATGTAACCTAAAATCTCCAAAATGTCAGATTCACAACAAGATGCATAGAAGGCATACCATTAATGGCTTGGAAGGTAAGTGGTCTATCAGTAGAGAAGTACAAAACATCCCTGGAAGGACTGACACTTCTCATAAAGTTTCAACAGTAAAAACAACTTGTCCAACAAATTACATAAGCAATCCGAGGAAAACAGAGACGAACCTGAGCTGAAGCACCACCAAGCTCAATAATCCCAGTGGTCTGTGCTGGTTCGGCTCCAAGAGTTCCAAGGGCATAGTTGGCCACAACCCAAGCATATAAGCCCTCGTCAGATCCTAAATAAAAATTGAAGAGTTATAATTAGATCATCAAAAGAATGCGAAAACCTGAATTATGGAAAACTACAAAGTTCAATAGAACAAACTGCTACACATGTTGATCGATACAAATAGATAGCACACAGGAGATTAAAGATGGAATATCTCATCTAATTAGAAGTCATCCAGCAAATTAGGATTATTAAGAGTTGAAGATCTAGAAACGACATGGACCAGATTGCATTTAATCTTCTTTGTCAGAGGGATTACATTTAAACGACATGGACCATGTGTCTTGCAGCAGTTCAAGAGGTATTGCTTAACATGTTTCACAGTGACAGCAGGGGCCAGAGCACTAGAACTCTCATATATCTACTCCCCTCATGCCTGGATTAACTTAAAAGAAGAAAAATACAAACACAATAAAAGAAAATAGACACAAGGATTGGTACGCAAAAGTTATGCAACAAAATAGCATACCCAAAAGAGTAATTAGTATGTTCACAACAAACTAATGCACAAGACTCAGCTTTATTCCAAAGCCTCACCGAATATATCCTTGCAAGAGTATAATGACAACTCTAACTGCAACATAGATGGATTACACTCTTAAACTGCTGGGTTAGAAACATTTCCTTAGGTTTAACAAATCATTCGTCAATGCCCATTAGAACTAACTAGATTACCAGCTACCTCATTGTCAAAGTGGAACGCAAGGAAAAACATCAAACAACAACATAAAACACACAATCAGATCATAATATCATACCTGGAATGACAGTCGCCCAATCATCATGAAACTTGAACCCAGACGCCCTCAATACCCTCCTGCACGCATTCAAAATCCTCTCTTGATCCTCATTCCCCAACAACCTCATACCAGCAGTGGCCATCAATCGAATCTCTGTGTTCCCCCATTGATCACTCGGCACATTCCCTTTGGCAAACTGCACCAACTCACTAATAGCATGACCCGCCTCATCCGGATCATCCAAGTGAGCTGACAACCCAGGATGTACCCTCATCGACACCAAACCTTTCTCGGTAAAGTCAAGCACCAAATTCCCATTTCTAACTTCGTACTTGAAGACATGGATTCTAGTCCCCGTGCTCCCACCATCAATCACGACTCCATATTTCTTGTTTCTTTCACTTTTATTCCCGAAGAGCATAATGTAGCAAAATAGCGCGACCCCCACAGAGATTGAAGCAATTAAACAAAATCTTGATCTCGGGTTTGAGCGTTTAACATTGGTGGATCGGAACCCGGGTCGAGCCGGTCGTAAGTGAAGCTTAATCGGATCCATATCCTTGACCTTATCCGAATTAGGGCTTGTTGAGCGTGCGTTCGGTCGGCGCATCAAACAAAGATGGAAACTTTGTGAACCATAGGATGATACTGGTGGATTTGTTACTGCAAAACTCCTATGGATCACAAGTTTTTGGCGTTACAGGATTTTTTTCGTATTCCTTTTCCCTCTTCTTCAGTGAGATTTGAGAATGAGAGGGCTTTTTAATCAATCTTGCCCCCTCTGATTTTCGGCTCTTCCTAATGTTAAAAGCGGAGACGATGACAAAAAAAAAATAGTGGGATTTTCTGTATGCATCTCACGCGCCTTCCAACAGTTCGAGATTGTTATTAGACGAAACTACCCTTCCAAATAAACTTGAATATTCATACTTTCAATACAATATGTATTCTCGTGCGAGGTTAAATAGTCAATTCTGTATGATATGTGCCGATACATCTATTTTAATTATTATTTTTTTGAACTAAACTTGCAGAAATTGTATGGTGTTGTCCTTCGTAAGGAGCATAAGAGCTGTCAGGGTCAGCGGATAGGCACTCGGCTCGCTCAAGGCCATTCATTCAACATTTAATGTATTGACACATGTCCAAAGTACATTTAAGGTCATCAAAGTCTGGGAGTTACATTTTTGTAATGTAGAACCTCTGACCGGCTGGAAATCGACTTACTCGAGCCCCTCCTCGCCGGTTGAACGCCTCGTACCTGCAAAAACTCCCATACTGAATGGGGTCTCCGATGAAGTGTCTTCAATGCTTAAATGAGTATGTGTATAAGATGAACTCTCAAAGAGTATAATGAACGTAATAATTAAAATCTTCAGTCTCACCCCTATATATAGGGGTGAGGTACCTATTCTAAAAGTTGCCCGGAAGTGATGAGTCAGCCACCCCAAATTGCCCAAGCTGCTTGCTCGTACAACACACATTGGAGGTGTGTCAGAGACGGTTATGGGGTATGGGTCAATCAGGTCCTACCATGTTTCCTCATCACGTAGGGGTTTGATTCCTTTAAGATCTTCCCGAAGGCTCGACCAGATTTTGGTCGACTTGCTGTTGTGGGTTGAGTTTCGACCAGGCTATCCGAGAGATCTGACTTGACCCGCTCTCTTTGTACTTAAATCCCATCTGGGTTGTCCTCCAGTCCAGAGGCTCTTGTTCCTATGACGTTCGACCACGACTACCCTGTCCGGCTCTCGTTTGACCAGGTGGTTTTCTCTGTTTATTTGACCGTCTTACTCGACCTGTTTACTCTCTTAGGTATAGTATTCTATATCATCTAGTCCCCCTCCCCCTCAGTCTAGTCAAGTCTGAATGACTCAATCCAAAAGTAGATTTTTGTCTGTCTATTTGGTTGTTGTGTCGTTCGCTGCCTATCGACCACTCATCACATTCTTTTCTGCTCTTCGACCATTTCCCCTTTCGACCGTCATTTTGAATTTCAAACATCGAACCTGCCACTTGTCAGACCTGTCCCTTCACCTGTCAGGCTGGCATCATTGCCTCTTGAATCGTGCTTCCTCATACGACGTGTATATTAAATGCATCCTTTCTTGCCACTATTGGATTTGCCTTTAATCTAACGACAATATTTTCCAACCCTTCAGCTAGCCCATTTAATCCAAGCCATTGATTCTTTCTTTGATCCAACGGTCACAACCTTTGATCTCTCCTTTCGCATCTGCACAGTACACCTGCTTGTTGATTTAACAGTCCACAATCAACCGTCGTTTCCATCTACCTTCTGCAATCCTCTATAAATACCTCCACCCGTGACATTTTTCAGTTTTTCAACATTGAATATTTGTACTCTAAATCTCTGAGGTTTCTGCAATTAGCCTCCTTGCAATTAGGCGGTGATCAAGGGGTTGCAATTGGCTCAGGCAGGAGGAGCTCGAGAGGTCCAAATACATTTAGATTCCAAATTTATGGTTGGACAATTTGAAGAAGGTTTCGAGATAAAGGAAGGAAGAATGCAGAAATATGTGGATGAGTTGAAGAGGTAAGAAGGAGAATTTAGCTCTTTCGAGCTGATTTAGATACCGAGGGGGATAATGGACGAGCAGATTTATTGTCAAAAATAGCTCAAAACCTGGTCGACTGCAAGAGTAGGAGCTTAACTTTGTTACATATGGAGAAAAGTGAAATGGAAGCCGAGGTCGCAGAAATCAAGGAGGTAGATGATTGGAGGGTCATTGTCTTGTGTGAGTCGAAAAAAGGAAGCTTGAAGGCTATTAAAAGATTTTTCAGGCAAGGAGGGGTCCTCTATAAGAGGTCGTAAGCAGAGCCACATTTGAGGCGTGTGACCAATGAGGGAGGGAGGTATGTGTTGAAAGAAGTGCATGAGGGGGGCTGCAGCAATCACAACAAAGTTGGAGCTTTGGTCGCGAAAATTCTTTGAGCTGGTTACTTTTGGCCGACAATGGAGGTGGATGCAACCTCGATGGTGAAAAGTTGTTTGCATTGCTGCAAGCATTGTCGACTCATTCATCAACTGGCGAAAAGAATGATCACAATGAGCTCCCTCATCCCATTCGTGTAGTTAGGTATCGACCTAGTGGGGCCAATGCCACAAAGATCTGATAAAAGAAAATTCTTAATTATTGCGGTCGATTACTTCATGAAGTGGGTGGAGGCCGAACCCTTGGCTAAAATCACAGAGGACAAAGTCATACATTTTTTATATACTAATATTTGCTGCAGGTTCTATGACGGTCGATTATTTCACGAAGTGGGTGGAGGCCGAACCCTTGGCCAAATCACAGAGGACAAAGTCATACGTTTTCTTATATAACAATATTTGTCGTAGGTTCGATTTACCAAAGGTTTTAGTGTCAGACAATGGAACTCAATATAATAGCAGATTCGAGCCTAGTGTGAAGATATAAAAATCAAGCAGCATTCTGTTTCGGTTGCTCATCCGCAAGCTAATGGACAGATGGAGGTCACTAACAGGATCATGCTGAATGGATTGAAGATAAGACTCGAAAGGCGTGGGTCGATGGGCTTACATCAGTACTTTGGGCATAAAGGACCACCCCGAGGTCAACAACTGGTGAAACTCCTTTTAGTCTAGTCTATAGAATGGAGCTTTGAATGGAAGTGTGGATGAATCGACTTCAAATAGAGGAGAGCAAAGTGAGAGAACCTCAATTCTCCCTTTAACAGAAAGAGACTGGCATTGTTGTCGATCGAAGTGGAGCTGGAGTCCCAGAGGTCGAATTCATATAACCAGAAGCAGAATGAAGAATTGGTTTGTGCAGCTTTAGACACAATAGACGAGTTAAGGTAGCAGGCGTCGACCACAGTTGTGACGTACAAACAGAGGATGCGAGCTGGCTATGACAGGAAGGTCAAGAACTGAAGATTTCAGGTGGGTGACTTAGTCTGGAAAAGGATTGACGTGCTGAAACATGTGGGCAAGTTGGAACCAAATAGGGAAGGACCTTACTTAGTTGAGAAGGTCCATGCTGGAGGAGCTTATTCAATGAAGGATGCAGAAGGACGATCTTTTCCTAGGTCATGGAATGTTTGCAAATTTGAAGAAATACTGTGCTTGAAAATTTTTTCTTTTATGAACATTCCATGTAACTCAGTTTATCTATGAAAAAACAAAAACCCACATGTTATTGTTATATTTTATCGTGTTATCATGTTTGGTGCGCTTTGGAGTGATCTCAGTGGCAGGTCCCTTAGGTACTTCAAAAAAATCCACTTCGGGCTGGGTGGTCGTTTGTTTCGAACAATACCAATGTTGGGTAGGGCAAGTGGCCGAAGAAAAAAATCCACCATGATTAAGGCCCTCAGGCTGGGTAGTCACTTGTTTCGAACAATCCTAGTGTTAGGTTGGGAAAGTGGTCGAAGAAAAAATCCCACCATGAATAAGGCCCTCGGGCTAGGTAGTCGTTTGTTTTGAACAATCCTAGTGCTGGATTGGACAAGTGGTCAAAAAACAAATCCAACATGATTAAGGCTCTCGGGCTGGATGGTCGCTTGTTTCGAACAATCCTAGTGTTGGGTTGGGTAAGAGGTCAAAGAAAAAAGTTTCACCATAATTAAGACCCTCGGGCTGGGTGATCGCTTGTTTCGAACAATCCTAGTGTTAGGTTCGGCAAGTGGTCGAAGAAAAAAATCCACCATGATTAAGGCCCTTGGGCTGGGTGGTCTGTTGTTTGAACAATCCTAGTGTTGGGTTGGGCAAGTAGTCGAAGAAAAATAATCCACCATGATTAAGACCCTCGGGCTGGGTGGTCGCTTGTTTCGAACAATCCTAGTGTTGAGTTGGGAAAGTGGTCGAAGTAAAAAATCCACCATGAGTAAAGTCCGCAGGCTGGGTGGTCACTTGTTTGAACAATCCTAGTGTTGGGTTTGGCAAGTGGTCAAAGAAAAAAAAAAATCACCATGATTAAGGCCCTACAGTTGGGTGGTCGCTTGTTTCAAACAATCCTAGTGTCGTGTTGGGCAAGTGGTTGAAGAAAAAAAAATCCACCATGATTAAGGCCCTAGGGTTGGGTGGTCGCTTGTTTCGAACAATCCTATTGTTGGGTTGGGCAAGTGCTCAAGAGCTGGACCAGAAGCCGAGGAGACTGAATTTGCAAAGCGGCATGCACGCATGGAAATTTTAACAGTATGCTAAAAATCTAAGGTTGGGGACCATACTTTGAAGGTCTTAGCAGGTAGTCAATTGCTTTGTTTAACTTAGGCATTATCCTCGAATTAATTTAGATAATAATGGTAGCATACTTGGTTTAAGTTTGGTTTCATACGTGGATATATATACTCTGGTAAGATATTTGGGATTGACCACAATGGTGCACTTGGTTATGACTTTGAATATAAGCTTGGTCGTATGAGACACAATCTTTAACAACTATGTGGAGTAGTAGATAAACATGCACATATGTAAGTGGTAGTAAAGCATTTCAACAACTGTTGGGCATGGCCGAGGCTCACTGGGTGTGCTGGCGTGCGGCTGGCACAACACAGACACGACTAGACTCTGGACAAGCGCGGACTGAGGCTACACAGGAGCTGTTGGGTGTATCTGAGGGTGTTGGGCACTCGGTCATGCTGCTGGGCACGTCCCGAGGCCAACTGGACTCAATTGACACGGCCAGACGCTATACGCGATGGCACGTCCATGACTAAGCTAAGCTGACCTGACTCGGGTCTGCCTTGGGCATAGCACGAGGCTATGGCGCGAGACATCGTGCGCTGAGGCTAGCACGGCGCTACCGGGCGCCATGCA